TATTGCTCTCTTGTACTATGATATAAAGTTTATTTTATTATTAAGGAACTTTTTTTTAGCTAATTCTCCTACCTAAGCAGAGGTTACCAAATTCCACAAGGACCGCCCCACTTGTTTCTTCTACATGTACCTCCCTATTGATTTCCCTCTGATAGCCTCACATTTGTTCCCCATTTTCAATGTGTGTTTTGCTATCAATAGCAACCATCCCCCTGAGATGTTTCATTGATTAATGTGCATGCACTGGTCTCCAGTGTAAAGATGTTCCTTCCCTTCCCTTTCTTTCCCTCTTCCCTTGCCTTTCTTTCCATTTTCTTTCCTTCCCTTCTCTCCCTTCCACTCCCCTTTCCTCCTCTCCACTTCCTTCCTTTTCCTCCCCTTTCTTTTATTTTCTTCCTTTATGATCTAAATGACCACATATAACTAAAAACTAACAGGAGCCAGCACGATGGCTCAGCAAGTAAAGAAAGCACCAAGTCTGATGACTAGAGATTAGTCCCGGGACTTATGCAGTGGGAGAGAACAGACATTCAGAGTTGTCCTCTGAGATTCACACGCATGTGGTAGCACATGCGCGCCATGTACAATAGAGACATTATTGTAATACAAAATATAAAAATATATTTTTAAAGACTAACAGACTTCAAAGATACTTTCCCAGGAGCTTGGAATTTAATTATAAAACTAAAATGCCATCTGATACGGGACACAAAAGTCTCTGGTCTGGTGTTAGATATATTCAGGAGTGAATGTCTTAAGTATTACAAACTTAACAGAAAAGTGTCTTGGGCGAGGTAAGAATTTTAACCTTGAAGGATGAGTAAGAATATTGTTTATGGCAACGAATGTTACTTCAGCCACACAAACCCCTAGATAATTAGTTTGAACACATTAAATATTTTTTTGTTTATGTTAGCTTGATGGTGACTCTCGGGGTTCTTTCTGGTCGGCACATCCCGCCCCTCACAATCCTGGTCTTGTCAATATGCCTGCAATACCTTTCCTGTAAGAGGGATTCTTTAAGACAACTTTGTGTCCAGGCCTATGTTGAAATAAGAGCGTCGGGGCTGCATCCCCAACACCCCGGCCGCTCGGCTAGCTCATGCCCGAAATAACAACACACAAACTGTATTCATTTAAAGAACTGCTTGGCCCATGAACTCTAGCCCTTACAGGCCAATTCTCACACCTGGACTAGCCCATTTCTAATAATGTGTGTAAGCACCCCAAGGTGCGCTTACCGGGAAGATTCTAGCCTAAGTCCATCATGGGTTGCAGCTGCCTGGGAGAGCAGAGCATGGAGGCTGTCAGGTCCCTCTGGAAGCAGAGCAGAGTCTGACCTCACTTCCTCTTCTGCCCAGCATCCTATTCTGTTTTCTCCTCCCACCAATGCTTTAACCTATCAGGGCCAAGCAGTTTCTTTATTGCTCAGCCAATGAAATCAACAGATTGATGACACTCCCACATCAGGCCTAGAAGCCACAGTCGTCACTTTTATGTACCATCAGTGGAATTTGGGCAGCAGGACTCACTAGCCTACATGGAGGCTGGTTATTTGGTGAAAATGAGGGGTCTCTGCTGGGGGTATATGCAGAGAGGAGGAGAGGGCTGTTCAGCAAGCAAGTTAGTGGCAGCCAAGGCAGCAAGCCAGGAGGAACAGATGGTTCAGGAAGGAGCAGGGGAGAAGCCAGCCTGTGGGAACCGAGTGGGGATTACGGAATGACTGTTCCTGACTACACAGTGGTATTTCTATTAGAAGGCTGCATGGCTAATGAAGAAAACTTGGAAATAGCTGTAGTGGTATTTTGTGTTTTAACAAATAAAGCATGCCTGAAGATCAGAGTGCAGAGCTAAGTGGTAGCACACTCCTTTAATCCCAGGATTTGGGATACAGAGGCAGAGGGATCTCTGTTAGTTCCAGGCCACCCTAGGCTACACGAGATTGAATCTATCTTAAAGAGAAACAGAACTCACACAAAGGTGATCTTAGCACTTGGGATCCCACAACTTTAATCCCAGCACTAAGGGGCTAGAGACAGGACTGATATGGCTGGGCAGAGGGAGGAATATAAAGCAGGAGGAGACAGAAGCTCAGCTTCAGTCTGAGGTTTGGTGGAGACAGATGCAGTCTGAGGTGTAGTCTGAGGCAGCAGTCTGAAGCAGTCAGTCTGAAGATGCAGTCTGAGGATTGGTAGAGACAGGATTACCCCAACAGTCTGAGAATTTGGAAGAGGTAAAAGATCTCTTACTGCTTCTCTGATCTCTGTTTTTACCCTCTAATATCTCACTCTAGGTTTTTATTATTATTATTGGTTTTTCAAGACAGGGTTTCTCTGTAGCTTTGGTGCCCGTCCCGGAACTAGCTCTTGTAGAACAGGCTGGCCTCGAACTCCCAGAGATCCACCTGCCTCTGCCTCCCGAGTGCTGGGATTACAGGCGTGCACCACCACCGACCGGCTTTCTAGGTTTTTATTATTAAGACCAATTAGAATTCATGCTATAAGTATCCTAAAAACTAATCAAATACATAAACTTACTCAGTATCTTCTCAGAAAGAAGTTATTCTATTGGTTGTACTTAGTTTGAATGAGGATATTTGTGATACATATAATTTAAATTTATGGTCAGATTATATATAATATTTTTAAATATTAGCGTATTTATTTTTATGTATATGTGCCTGAAGGAGTTTATGTGTTTCACATGTGTGCAGGTGCCTGTATATTCTAGAAGAGGTCGTCGGATTCCCTGAATCTGCAGTTACAGATGGTTATAAGCCACCAAGGGGGTGTTAGGAACTGTCAAGTCCTCTGTAGGAGCAATACACACTCTTAACCTATGAGTTGTTTTGTTAGAGCTGCTTGTTTGTTCCCCAGCTGCCCAGACTCCCGAAATAATCACACAGAAGCTATATTATTTGCAATACTGTTTGGTCAATAGCTTAAGTGTAATGCTAGCTAGCACTTACATCTAGAATTAACCCATTTTCATTATTTTATATTTTACTATGAAGCTCATGGCCTACCGGAAAGGTTCCAGCTGGCAGCTCATGTCTTTCCCTTTTGGTGGCCACAAGACATCTCATGACTCTACCTTCTTTCTCCCAGCATTAAGTTTAGTTATGTCTGCCCCCCCCCCGTTCCACCACCCCCACCCCCTGCTTAGCTCTACTCTGCCCTATCATAGGCCAAGCAAGCTTCTTTACAATATGTACACAGAAGGACTTCCCACACCAAGCTGTATCTCCAATCCTCTGATAATAATAATATTTTTAGCATTAGTTTCTTCACTGGATATTCTTTTGGGGGATGGGTTTCAAGATAGGATTTCTCTGTGTAGCCCTGGCTGTCCTAGAACTTACTCTGTAGACCAGGCTGGACTTGAACTAAGATATCCACTTGCCTCTGTCTCCAAGCTGGATATTGTATCTTTAGTACTTACCCACACTAGTAAATGCTACCAAATAGCTTTCATTTAAAGCCTTTTTATGCATTAATTTTTTTTCATTAAGATTTACCAAACATCTTCTAGTGCAGGTATCTAGTGCAAGTCTCAGCAAGCAATGAAGTACATTCCTTGATCCTCAAATAATTTATATTCTTATTGAAAAATTGAATAATAAACAAGTAAACATACAATAGACACACAGCTTCAGATTAAGCAAAAAGTGAGGGAGAATAATTGAGGAAGGGTGCTTAGTAGGATAGCTTCAGAGAAGATGGGAACCTTATTAAGTCCTTATTTATATTTCTCAGTCTGCTAAGTAGTGCCTGGGTAGCAGGACTGTGTGTCCTTCTAAAGGGACTCCCTGCTATTACCCAGGCAAAGGGACACTGAAATTTTGTAAACCTGTAATAAAACAATTCAGACTGTGTTTGTAAGGTGTCTCCAACTGCTGTGTGGTGAATGATCAGAACGAGACAAGAGGGCATTCAGGGAGCCTCTTGTCCATTCAGGATATGGTCAAAGTCCTGAGAAAGTAGATGATGGTAGTGGCTTCAATTGGAATGAGAGACGGTAGACTCATATCAGAACAGTGGGTGTGCGGCCAACTCGTGCAGCTTCAAACCTTTAGAATTATGTGATTGTGTGCACTTTGTCTGTGCTGGTTCCAGAATACAGCATTCTATAAGGACGGCACACCGATTTGATTCAATGTGACCTTTCTCAGGGCACACTAAGTGTATTCTCGGCCACTCGGGGCTGTGAACTCCTTATGACCAGCCTGCAGAGTGGGAACTGTGTTCTTCAGGATGTTGAATTAGAGAACAGTGATGAACCATTCTCAACCTCATTATAACCTGACAAGCCAGAACATTTCTGAGGCTGGAATGGAAATATATAGCTCTGTTAGGGAGACAGAAACGTCTATAAATCAGACAAACAGGTGTGCTTGTGATTACAAGTTCATTAATGAAGCCATGGACCTTTGAGAGCAAGATATTGCATTTCAGCAATTGTCATAAATAGGTCTGCTTAGAAGAAGGACGATGACCTTGGCGCTGACACCATGGCACACTGTGTCTTTTGAGATTACAACGAGTGCAATTCTCACTTTAATGGGCTTCAGGCAAAGATTGCAAGGGAAACCATGTTCCTCCTTTTCTCTCAGAAGATCTATACAGGAGATATGTTGGGACCAGCTGCTAGGTAGAGTGTTACTGCTATGAGTATCTATGAGTACTGCTAGAGTTTTGCTGCTATAAAAAACAAAAACAAAAAGAAAACACATAAGAAATTTCCAAAGGAGGTGCCCTTAAATTTAGAGGGGCATTGCATGGCGATAAATATAAGCAATAGTTACTTTCTTTTTGTCTTTTTATCTTTCTCCAGACCCACCTCTGCCTTTTCTCTGGCCTAGTTTCTTTTTCCCTATGGGTGTGGCCCTGTCATCTCTTTTTGCATTTTATATATCTCCTCTATCTCCTGCATCCTAAAGACTTCAATGAAACAATGACTTATTCTGTGTTTTCTTGACATTATGACAAATCAAACAGAAAGAAACCCAAACCAAAGCTTTAATCCTGCCATGTCGATAAACACAAAGAACTGCCTTATAGACCTGCATCATCCAAATTGAAGACTTCCAGTGTGCAATAAAGACCTCCAGGACAGAGCTGCAGTTTCTATCTCAGACTGGCTAGACCCAGGTTTCACTCTTGCCAACTTCTGGATACACAATGGCATCTGTTACAGAAGGAGGGGTGGTTTGTTTGTCCCAGCCGCCTGACTAGCTTACACCTGAAATAACCACACAGAAATTGTATTAATTGAAACACTGTTTGGCCATTAGCTTTAACTTCTTATTGACTAACTCTTACATATTAGTTTAATCCATTTTTATTAATCTGTGTATCACCACGAGATTTTAACCTCCTACACCGGGCATTATCCTATGTCTCTTTGATTTCCCATGGTGAGGTTCTTTTTTTTTAATTTATTTATTTCTTTATTAATTAATTAAAGATTTCTGTCTCTTCCCCACTGCCGCCTCCCCTTTCCCTCCCCCTCCCCTAATCAAGTCCCCCTCCCTCGTCAGCCCAAAGAGCAATCAGGGTTCCCTGCCCTGTGGGAAGTCCAAGGACCACCCACCTATATCCAGGTCTAGTAAGGTGAGCATCCAAACTGCCTAGGCTCCCACAAAACCAATAGGTGCAGTAGGATCAAAAACCCATTGCCATTGTTCTTGGGGTCTCAGTAGTCCTCATTGTCCGCTATGTTCAGCGAGACCGGTTTCAACCCAGGCTTTTTCAGACCCAGGCCAGCTGGCCTTGGTGAAAGGGGTACACTCATCCATTGCTGGTGGGAATGCAAACTTGTGCAACCACTCTGGAAAGCAGTGTGGAGGTTTCTCAGGAAATTCGGGATCAACCTACCCATGGACCCAGCAATACCACTCTTGGGAATATACCCAAGAGAGGCCTTATCATACAACAAAAGTATATGCTCTACTATGTTCATAGCAGCATTGTTTGTAATAGCCAGAACCTGGAAACAACCTAGATGCCCTTCAAATGAAGAATGGATGAAGAAAGTATGGTGAGGTTCTTTTATAAACGATGAGAAACTGTCTTACTCTGATAAATGTTTTGAGAAGTAATGTTGTCCATTCCTGTTTTGTAAACAAAGCACTCAGAAAGAAAAGAGATATGGGATTCTTCTTTAGACCAAGTCTTTCTGCAGAGAAGAAAGAAAAATTGATAAAAATATGGGAGCAACTTTGTAGTATTTCATATCTATTAAACTTTTACTACATGCTAGAGACTGAACTAAATATATTACACAAGCCAATTCATGTAACAAGATAAGCAATGTTAGTTTCTTCTTGCATACTAGGAAACTGAGGCTAAGGAAAGCCACTTGTCTGATGTCCACAGTGGGCAGGACACAGAGCCACAACTCAGTTCCATGCGCCTGACTCCATAGCTCAGGTATGAATCCCTTGCTTATGTGTGGTAGCTGCTTTTCATTTCCAGGGAGTCCTCGAGGGGAAGCACTGCGACTTTCACTTTATGAGAAAGGAAACTGAAGTGGGCAAGCTTAACTCAGAAATGGCTCTGCTGTTAATGTGCCTGCCACGCAAGCATGAGGACCTGTGTTTGGATCCCCACATCCATGTAAAAAGCTGGATAGCAGCTGAAACCCTGGTACTGGGGTCAGAAAGAGAAGAGGATCCCAGGGAGGGTGGGAGTTTAGGTAGTCAGTGTACCCAAAAGAGTGGGCTTCAGACTCGGTGAGAGACGCTGTCTCAAAAGATAAGATGGTATTTTTTTTTTCTTTTTGGTTTTTCGAGACAGGGTTTCTCTGTGGCTTTGGATAAGATGGTATTGACTGAGGTAGGCACCCAATAAGGGCCTCTGGCCTCCCCAGGCGTACAAGGACAGGTACGCATACAACCTACTGCACCTGCACAGAGTTAAACACAGTTAAATGTTAAGGGGCTGCCGCTGTGAAGGATCCTTGAGTACAAGACCTCCTTGGAAGAGTGTCAGACATGGCCCGTGAAGGAAGCTGTGTGAGGAGAATGAGTCCTTGTAAGAAATAAAATCAAGTAAACTAGACAAGAACCTTGTAACCTCTGTTCCCCTATAACATGGGTTTTGCTTGGAATGTGCTTCGAGCCCCTCTGAGGTGTCTTGAATAGGAGTGAGCTTGCTTCAGATTACTTATTACAGCTGACTGTTGTTATTTATTTGCCTCCATGGAAAGACGGGGTTTATACCATATGAAGCTTGTCCTTGCTGTTGTTGTACATTTTACTCAGGTGACCCTTCTTAAACCTCAGAGTACAAACTGTCTGATGCTCTGAATAAAGCTGGCTATTGCACGAGACTTGTTCAGCCTGTCTCATTTCTAGGCTCTATTCTCCCAGCTACATGCTGCCAACCAGCATGGTAAACAGAGAAGCATTCTCTGTAGCAGGATTAATAAAAATTCAGAGACTGAAATTGGGATTCAAGCTGAAGACCTGAAAAGCAAAGCAGCTAGCTACTGGCTCTTACCTCGACTTCATCCATAATGGCAATCCTGCCTTATGGAATCTTAGAATGAGACTGTGACTGAGAGCTGTCTCCTCCCATTTTGTAATCCTCTCTAGTGCTGGGATTAAGGGTGTGCACCACTACCACCTGGTTTTTATGGCAAACTACTGTGGCTACTGGGATTGTAAAGCTGGCCAGTGTGGCTGTTTTACTTTTCTGATAGTCACACAAACTTTATTAAAATACAAATGAAATGTCACTATAACTCATTTCTCATCTTGTCACCTCTAAATTTCTCCCACATAAGCTTTTATGTAAATATTACTCAGTAGTAGAATCTTGTTCTTCTGTATTAATCACAAAACAAAATCATTTGTTGAAATTTTAATGTCCAGAGCTCAGAACTAAAAGAGATAGGTGTATGAAGTGAAGGTTTCAGTATCGGATGTATAAAAGATAGGACATGGTTGCTCCAAAGTGTTGTTGGAACAAGGGTTTTTATTGTAGATATGAGGGAGAACACAGCCAGAGGAATCTAGAAGAGTCTAGAGCAGGGAGAGAAAGCAGTGTGCTGAAAAAGGCCAGTAGACAGAACTGGGCCATGAGAGGGGGTAGGGGGAACAAGAAAGAAAGAGAAAAGAGAGAGGACCAAGAAAGACCACAGCTGAAATGGAAGGGTTTTATAGGAGTAAGAATCTGGGGGAAGGGAAGCCCATGAGCTAGAGAAGTTTAGGGTAGGAAGTCAGGTGAGAAGAGCTGAGAAAAGGGCCAGGTACTGAGAGGGTGGAGGCTAGCATGCACTTTGGTATGCTAACAGGCACCACAGATAACCATTTGCCCATGGTTTACTCTGGATCTGACAATAGGAAGATAAAGAGGGAGCAGGCCTACCCTCCTGGAGTAATGTAATGATCTTAATTAGGAGAGGAGAGTCTTTTGATGGAGTAAAATGGCATTTCACTTCATAGTCAGGGCAGGTATGGCAAAGGCTTGCTGAATGAACCATGTAGGTAGCAGGATCTGAGGAGTCTCAGAAGGGAAACAGGAGCAAAGAGGCACCCTCTCCCTTCTGTGCCTCCATCATCAAAGCCTTCCTAGATCCCCCACTGAGGATTCCTCATTCTTCCTCACACTTCTCTGTACCCCATCTAACATTCTTTACCCATCCACATTTGTCAGAAAAGTTGGACTATGAAAGACAATTCAGCAAAGTAAGTGAAGTCATTTTTGTCTTTGAGGTTCTCAGTAAACTAAGCCTGCTATGTAGACCACAGAAGTCACAAGCAGTAACAAAAAGCAATCAAGGAGTCAGAGTGGTGGCATGGGCACATGTCTCCAGCATCTTTTTACCTAGAGATGTATTTTTCCCTCAAGGAGAGGGTTGTCTTTCAGACACTCCTAACCTGAAAAGGTCTGGGGCTAGGTCTGTGGGGTGAAACGAATGAGGACAGGTTTAAGACCATGAGAAACAGAAAGAAATCAAAAGATTTGAAGAAAAGGTGCAACTGGACAACTCACAGTGCATCTGACCTGCCTCCCATCCTGCCCAAGAGCAAACCTGGTGGCCAGGTTGTGGTTGGGGTAGCAGGGCAAAGCATTGTCATTGTTTTATATTTCCTCCTCCAGCCAAATGTCAGACACAAATCATGTGGGACCAAAAGGTTAGGCTGTGGTAAATGCCCTCTGTCTCTAATCAAAGCTGACAGGAGATAAATAGGCTTGATAACCTTGAGACATTCCATTTCCTCAACATCTTTCAGGATGTGTTTCATGAGGGATGTCCAGAGTCACTTTCCCATCCCTTCTGCTGTCACCTGATAAGGTCAAAACATCTAGGTGCCAGAATTCCCTGTGAAGAAACTGCAAACCACTTCTGGCTATGGTGTTAAACCTTTGAAACTTTCCCCAGGATCTTTTAGTTCCCTTCTCTGGGCTTCTGGATCTGTAACAAGGATTCCTGCAAACAGCCTTCTTGCTCCACAGGGCTTCTGGCTGAACAAACACGTGATTCACCCATATAGGCAGTGATTCGGCTAGGCCTTTGCAGAGAAAAAGCTTCAGGCAGGACCTACAGCCACAGACTAAGACATGGCTCCATAGCAGAGGTCTGGCCTAGCAAGCACAAGAACTTGGTTCAACCCCTAAAATAGAGAGGTGGGAGAGAGGGAGAGGTGAATGGACAGGGACAAGCAAGATGGGAGGAAAGAAGGAAGGAGGGAGGGAAAGGAAAGAAGAAAGGGAGAAAATGGGGAAGAAAGGCAGGCAGACAGTGGAAGGAGGAAAGAAAGAACCTGTGGTCACACCAAGGGAGAGAAGAGGATTTGACACTTTGATCCTGGGCTAGGATACTGATATTATCATTTAAGTTCACTGCCTTTTAGGTCTACTATCTTGCAACAGGGTTGACTAATATGGGATGCCTTTCTGTATGTGTGGCTTTTATTGGTTGATGAATAAAGATATTTCAGCCAATGGCTTAGCAGAGTGAAGCTAGTCAGGAAATCCAAACAGAGAGTAGGTAGAGTCAGCGAGATGCCTTGCAGCTGCTGAAAGAGAAAGATAGAACCTTACATAAGCCATAGCCTCGTGGTGATACACAGATTAACAGAAATGGGTTAAATTAAGATGTAAGAGTTAGCTAGGTCATTGGCCAAACAGTGTTGTAATTTATATAGTTTCTGTGTGATCATCTGGGTCTGGGCGGCCAGGAAGGAACGAGCAGTCTCCTTTTACAGTTGACAACATTATTTCCATATCAGTATATATATTGTGACATCCAAAGCATTTCCTGCTTGAGAATAGCAGGATCACAGCAAATATTCAAACACAGTTTCTGAATCTGCATTCCACTGACTAAAAGAGCAAGGAGTTTGTGGGATGGGGGAACCAGGAGCAAAAAACAGAGAACTGAATAGTGGCGTTGGGAGTGTGTGCAGAGTCTTTTCATTTTGCTGCCAAGTTTGAACTTTCATGGTCCCGTCGCTCCAAACTTGGTTTTTAAAGGTGCATGCCATGCATGTAACAGTTGCTCATTAAAGGTTATGTGTGAGACTGAGGGATGGGCGAATGACAGACTCACTTCAGGAGTTGGTAGCTATTTTCCCCAAGAGGTGGCTAATCAACCATAGCAGGTTACGTCTACTGACCACGGGGGTGACCCTGTCCAACCATGACAGCAGCAAACTGCCTTGAGGTACGTCAGCCTGAAGCACATTTCCATCCGAGGCTCCTCGCAGTCTGTGCTCTCTGCGTTTTTTCACAGCCCTGTCTGTCCTTTCCTGCTCCTGCCGAAGCCCACGGGTGCTGGTTCGATGTGGAATCTCTCCGGCTGTGCGATTACTGATGACTGACAGCCCTTTCCTGGGAACACTGGGTCTGGCTGTAGCTTGGCTGTGCATGGATGGCTCCCGATGACAGGATTAGGCGCTGACATTTCTCTGGGGACAGTCCATGTTCAGGATGTGTGTCTGAGATACTGTCAGACATGGCAGCCAGTGGCATGCGGGAGTGAGGCCTCCTGAGAAGGGAGAGAATCGCAGAGACAAAGCGCAAGGACCGTTCCTTACCAGTTCCTGAGCCCCTTGCTGCTGAGGCATGGCCTCGACCCTTGTCTGTCTGGCCAAGGAGGTGTTGGTGGGACGTGAAAGACACTGTCCTCACCTGTTTTACTAGAATGGCATTTGTCCTGTAGTTAGACGTGTTAAACCCTAAAAGTCAATTGATGCTTTGTAGACCTACAAAACCCTAGGTCTGGGTCCAGGGATTCGACTTCCTGACATGCTTGACAGGAAACATGAGGGAAAGGGAAGTAGGAAAGTGGCAGAAGGCTTGCAGCTCTGGAAGCATTAATACACATAACTGGACAAAGACTTAATTTCTTAACACTTGAAAAGACAGATTCAAAAGAACATTCTACTCTTAGGCATATCTTTGGTAAGGCTAAGAAAGAGACAGGCCTTGATTTTCTCTGCTTTGAAGGGATGAGAGATTCACCCATTTTTCCATGACAGTCTTGGATGGGGTTGGACCAAGGCGAAAGGGTTTGGGGTCCTTTGTGGTACCTGAAAGGGAGGAGTTAAGCATAGGAGTTAGAAGCGAGCTTCTGCTATCAGAATCCTTCTCCGACCACCCCTGTGCATCTATCTACCCTGCTCCTGTCCCAGACATCCAGCATGCTCTGTTCATAGTCTGTTGCCTTTTACCTCACCCCAAATAACTATTCCTCTTCCATTTGCCATCTGGGGTCCTCAGAAGAAAAGAAGTGAGGCCTCCTAAAGGGAGCTTCTGGTTACTGTAATTAACGCTAATTACAGGAAACAAGAGAACTGAGACAAATTTTCTGCTTCAGATGATCATGATAGGTTCCTGTCACCTTGTTTCCTGTCACTCTTCTGTCCGGGAAGGGTTGAGCTAAGCAAGCAGACTGTCCCCTTGCCGTGGGGCCCCCAACCATGCCTTACTATCTGTGGTTATTGGTGGTCCTCTCTTTACCTTGGCCACCTTCCTGAAATCTTTAGGAGCCACAGGGGTGGTGTCTCCTCCAGAAGTCCTAGTGTTGGTGCAGGCCTGTTGCCAGTGACTCCTGTGGACAGAAGGTCGTTAAGAATTGTACTGTAATGGAGATAGCTCACCCTGAGACTTCAATTTATAGAACGGGACACAGAGGCCAGAGAGGCAGAACTCATCCCTAAATTCAAAGAGATAATCAGGATCCCAGATGACTGCTGACTCTGGTCAGTCAGTTGCCAGCAGTTCCTCTCTCTGTTCCTTCTCCAAGCTCTGTGAAGTTTCCTGTTGTCCCATGTTCAGTTGCATGGGAATCTTGCAACTCTTGTCTTAGCGTGTTTTCTATGATCTCTGTGCCTCTGTCTACTCTGGTTCTTTCTCCCCTCTCTCCTGGCTTCTTGAACATTACCCCCATGTTGTTCAGTCTGCTTTAGGAAGATGTGCAGAATTGGGAGAATAGAAAATAAACTCATTCCCTTGCCACTGTGGCCTGAGGGAGGCCATTAAGAAGCAGCTCATCCTGGAGATATTTCTAATGAGCCTGCTATAACTGTGGCTGAAATTTTAATATCAAAGGTTAAAGAATCATGGTTTCTGTTACACTTTCTTTTATTTGCAATTACCATTGGGAAGAGAACATATTAGGCCTGCTCAGGGCAGCACTCCTTAACCCAAGCTGCCCTTCACAGTGGTGGGCTACAGAAATGTACTATCATGGACTCCAAGAATGTAAAAGAAAAAAAGACAAGTGAATGCAGTGGACAGAGAAGGGCTCAGGGGAAGCCAAACAATGTTTAGATGAGGTGAGTAGACTGCAGTAGCTAGGCAGAAGAGCTTTCCAGCTGGAGAATTCTAGTTGTGAAGTTTGGATTCAAGGAAAATAGAAATGGATGAGGTACGTGTGGTAGGAAGCTGAGTAAATCTGAGGCCTCTTCTAAAGGCCTAGACAACAGCTTTGAGAGAAGAAAAACCAGGGGAACAGGATTGTAGGACTGGGGCTCAGCAGGCCTGGGTTAGGACTTGCAAATTACTTTCTTGACTTGGTCATGTGATTCTCCCCTTTGGGCCTTTGTTAAGCTACAAAGGAAATGATTGTCACTGAGGTCCTGGCTCTGACAGGTAAAGCTGTATTTTCCATGTTGCAAGTCTACCTGGAGTGATCTGTCCAGGCACAGATAGCTTCTTTTGCCTTCACGATGAAGTATGGTGATCTTCTCCCCTCTTCTCTCGCCCACCTCTCTTCCTAACCCTTTGGAATCTTTGGGTTGAGCAACTTTAAGCATCATTTTGAACCCTCTTTTTCCTAGAGGAGCCAAGCCCAAGAGACCTCAGTCCTGGGTAGCACCCCTCCTTTGCCCCTTCCCTCTCTTTATCTGACTCACCCCCCAATGCCTAGCAGTTGGGCCTCACTTGATAGCCAATGATCCCAAATCAGGAGCCTCCTACTGCTCATAATGATAACACTTCCTGCAATTTGCATGATAAAATCCAACTGATTTCAGATAGCGTTTGTCAGGACAGATAGGTGACGCTATAGCTGGCACCACGAGGGGAATAAATTACCACCTCAAGTTCCAGGCCAGAGCAGCCATGGGTTTGGATTGGCTGACATTCAGCCCTAAACAAAAGCACAAAGTCTTGTCTAATGGAGCAGTGAAAAAGGAAATCTAGGAAATATTAACAAGTTTCGCATGGTAATTTATGCAAATACACGCCATAACTCAGCTGAAGAGGTTCGGCCTGCACCTAGAAAAGGGAACAGATACCTCATTACATCTCAGAGGAGTGGGCTTCCATACAAATTAGCGCTGGAGAGACCCAGGGTGGTAATTAGTCCTCAGGCCACCTGCACCAGAGTCACCATGGGGTGCCCATTCAGTGCAGGTTTCCTGGCTCTGATAAAGAGCCCTTAAATCAGAAGTCCTTAAGCAGGGCCTGAGAGTCTGAATTTTAATGTAGTTTTTATCTAACCAGGTTAGTCTTTCTGGGCCTCTACCCATTACATCCAGTGAGATGTAGACTGAATTGCTTCTTAGGTGTTTCAGGTCAGGATTCTTTTTGAAGTGTGAGAGCAAGTCCCACGGTTCCATACATGAATAGATGGACCGCTTTCCCAGGTGGACAGCACATTTATGGCTTCCTGGAATTCCGCTGCCTTTTGTGAACAAGGTAAGAAACACCCCACTTCCATGTCTGAGCACCTGTAATTATCTCTCTCTGCTTCCTGATTGTAAATACAATGTGACTAGCCCCCTCAGCCTCCTGCCACCACACCAAAATAAATCCTTTCTTCCTTAAGTTGCTTTGGTTAGGTATTTTTGTCAAACATCTGGGAATATACTTATTACCAGTAGGAAGTTAGCAAAATATACATTTTACTCCAGGGAACAGGTATGGAAAGGTTACAACTTTTATATAACTATGTATGCCAAGGAGTTTCACATGGGTTCCACACCAGGCTTGTCTTAGACTATACCCCATGATATTTCTCAGCCTGGGTTTCTCATGGTAGAATCCAGTGAAAAATTAACCAAGTGTTTTATCTAAGTAGTCTTCTCCCACTACCACCTCACTGATTTTAACCATCTGGATGTGTTTTCTCACTTTCTTAAATGGTTAAAAGAAAGACTGAAACTTGTTTTTATTGGCTCTCATCAGAGGCCCTGCTCTGCTGTTGGATGAGGACTGTAGCTCAGGAGAACCACCTGTTCTGTTGTTGGGTGAGGAGAATTACCTGTTCTGCTGTTGTGTGTGTGGAGGGGGGGGGCAGGGGCAATTTCCTAAGGATTAATTTCTCTAGGTCTGACATTGTCTTCCTTTCTTTTCCCGAAGCTTTTTATATTCTCCTTTAGCTATGTTTCCTAGATATTGTTTCACATATATTCTTGAGGTGTTACTTCCTGCGCACCTCATAAATTCTCAGATTACTTATGCCTCAAGAATGGTAGATGATAACAAAGAAAAGGAAGGATACCCTAGGCAGAGGATTCTACTTGGGCAAATGTCCCACGTGCCTCTCACAATGCTGGTGATTCAACAGAGAAATTGAAGCATCCTCAGGCATTTACTATCCCAGAGCCCCTTTCCTTTCTTCCGTGTTTACATTCGTGCCTCTGTATTGCTCACATGTAAGATTCTCCAGCACAGGCTTACCCAGAGCAAAGCACTGTGGCCATCCCAGGCATGACACTGGGTGCTGACATGCAGGGTCACTTCTCATCAGGGCCATTATGTACACTGTGGGCACTCAGTGTTGAAGTTTACACTATGAGCCTCCTCCTACTTCATAGCTGAACTCAGCCAATCAGATCAAATGAGCAAAAAACATCTTTGGGCAGAAACGTCCCTGGGAAGACAGCTGTGTGTGTACAGATGGAGTAGTGGAAGGGAGTGGTGGGGAGCAGAGGGAAGATCATTGCATAGGCAGAGTACAAATCCCAGAAAGTGCCACTGGCCACCTCACTGTATTGAGAGTTATGTAAAGAGACATCCTTGTGTTCCCAGCCCATGAAAATCATATGCAAGCCCTGTTTCCTGAAATCCTGCCTCCTCCACAAGGCATCATGAACGGTCAGCACATCCTCAGCTTGCAGCCCCACTCACAACTGCTTTGGGGGAAAAAGATGTGTCCTCTGTAGGAGGCATTACTGGATGGAGTGGGATGATCTTTCTTGCTTTTTGTCCATCCAGTGTGGACTCTGGCTTAAAGTGTTTTTCTTTTTTCTCTTTTCTTTCTTTTCTTTTTTCCCTGTGAATTCCCTTCCCTTCTTGTCCCCCATCAAGGCCGCATACCCTCTCTTTTCTGGTCTTTAGGCCGTCTCCCTCAGGCTGCAGGAGAGTCCACTTCATCACTTGCCTCCTCAAATCTTTTCCGTGACTGTTCTCTTTGCTCCCGACAGGCCCTCTGCAGGGCCTGCCTTTGTTCTCCTCACAAAGGGAGTTGTCAGCATTGAAGGCTCTTTTCAGGACGGCGGGGAGGAGGCTCTTGTTTTTCTAAGGCACAATCAGATGCATTCTTTGTGCTCCTAGCCGCTTTCAGGCACGTGACACATAAATGTATGCAAGGTATCACATATTCATAGGCTTTGGATGGGATGAATGTGGGGGAGCGGGGGATGGGGCGATTCACCAAGGGATGAAAATGAAACAGAAACAAAGGAAAGAAGTGAGGGGAAGGGTCTGAGACAAGGAGACCATTGATAAAGGTGCCAGTGGCCCCAGGAGCTCTGCCTTACTCTTAGCTTTTAGTGTCAGAGTCTTCCAATGTCTCTTTGGCTCAGGGGTTTGGGGTGGGGGGAGGATTGGGCAGTGCTATCCACTGTGACATAAGAATGACATCTGCCAAATATCCTTCTGGGCTTCTTGGGGGGGTTGAGTTTTCTCAGAAACAAGCAGTGCCTAGTAGCTGTGACAGGGTTGCCCGCCCCAGGAGCCATAGGCACCACCTGCTCTCTCTCTCCTGGGCACCCTCACCAGGTGACTCAGCCTTCACTTCCCGTTTGTCACTTCTATGTCATCTCTGTCTTTGTTAAAGTGGTCTGGGACCCTGCTCCAGGCTGGATGCCTAGTTCACACAACACCATCAGGACCCCCTTTGACTTGGCCTGCTTCTTTGTAGCCTTGCAGTGTCTTCGAACCCTGTGATTGACTGGAGCTGTGCTCAGGGACTGGCAGAGATCCACGTGCACTTGCTGGCCTGCTCCAGGAAGGTCAGCTAACACCAGCCACTGCTTTTCTTCCCCACACTACCAGCAGCAGGTGTGTAGGAGAAAAACCAACTCTATTAGATACAGACAATCCAGCCTTGACTTCTGGGGTCCAGTTTCCGGGTCACACAATCAATGAGCTGAGAAGGAGACACAGTTTGAGTCCCAGAGTGAAGAAATTTAGAATATGCTGGTTTGGTAACAGCACCAAATTGCAATGCCTGACACATTCTTCCCCGATGGATTTAGCTTATGATTCTGAAAGGAGAACCATTTCTTTAATGTGCAAAGCTGCAGGGCCACTGGCCAGCCATTAAAGCTAGGCATGGCATTCACTGTGTGACTTGGGGCTACTCTCATAATCCTACTCAGAGATAATTTGTCTAGATTCAGTGATAACATCCAGTAATTTACAGCCGAAGATCCAGATCCATTATTTAAGATATTAATTCCTGTTAAAAAGCAAAGACCCCAGAGCAAGGATAAAGCATTGAGCATGATGAGTTAATGTGATCAGAATAATCAGTGAAAGCCAATGTTGATCACAATACCATCATCACCACCAATGACCGCTATCGCTGAGTAGAAATGTACTGAGGTGCTGTTCCCATGCAATGCTTGGAACCGATTTTCCTTCCCCTTTCAATGTAATGCCCTGAGGTCAGCACTCCTAATGTTTGCTTTTTGTCACCAAGAAACCGAAGCATAGTATTTAAGTGAAGTTGGCTGAGGCTACCAGTTAGCAGGTGCAGGCTCCAGAATTCTAATCTCGCAGGCTCTTCTAAATGCCCCAGCATCTGTGATACTAGCTACCATGTTGTTGGAGCACAGCAAACAGATGGGTCTCCATTTCTACCCTGTGGCTCTATGGCTCCCGTCTGGTTTCTCCACAGAGGATTCCCCTTGTGAAAGCAAACTACAGCTACAAATAGGGGTGGGGGTAGAGCTGGGGGCAGGGGAAGCTGCAGAAACGAGATGTGCACAGGACATAGGCAGCAGCATTCTTTCTCCTTGGGCCTTACTTGTAACATGTTTGAAATGAGGGGGTCTGACAAGGTGATCTGCAAGGTCCCTTCAAGCTGTAACTGCTATTTTGGAGAATCTTGAGGGTAAATCATGACCCACGTGATAAAATTGCCTTTTGTGACAGGGATATATGAAGGAGCAACTTCATATATTCAGATATATTCAGAGGGTCAGGAAGATTCCCAGATGCAAAACTTAAGAAGGGAGCACTAGTGGGATAACTCAAGAGTAACCTTCCTCTCAGCATCCTGCCATGAACACCTCTTCATTTGCATCCTGACTGAACAGGTGTCTTACTAGTAGTGTTTTGCTAATGTTGGACTTATTGCAAAGGCTAGTTGGAAGGAGTACCAAAGAATGAATTCTTAAATTCTAATTTCCTTTGTCTTGAGACTAATGTTAACAGATTCTTTGAAACAATAGTTGTTTACAAAAAAGAGAAGAGATGACAGAGGCCTCTGGCCTTTGAACTGGGAATGAAGGAGAATTAAGGCATTTTTGAGGGCCCACATAACAGATGTCATGAATTGATTGGACCTATTTTGCTCCTCTAATGCTCTGTCTTGGTTCTGATCTGAATGTATCTATACTTTTTCCCCGGTAATATGTAACAGTCTATATCCAGTTGGTGGAGAAAAGGTACTTGTGGTTGCCTAGAAGACCAACTCTTGGGTAGATTGTGCCTTCTTGGGCTATGATGAAAGGAAAAGAAGTGACATAAAGGAAGAAGGGTTTATTTGGTCTTAAGTGTGAGGTCACACCATCCACCATATTGAAAAGGCTTGGTGTCTGAAACAATTGTCAACTGGTTACATCACGTGCTTGGTTGGGAAGCATTAAATGATCAATGCTTTTACTTAGCTTGCTTTCTTTTTTTTTTTGATTCCTCCCACACTAAGCATACGTCTTTTCATCTCCCCATCTCAATTAACCCAATCTACAAACGCCCTCATAGAGAAATGCCCAGAGGGTTGTCTTCTAGATGATTCTAGTTCTTGTAGAGTTGACAATCAATATTAGCTATTACAAATGGCCACACAGACCTGATTCTTTGGGGCCTCTTTACGATGTTTTAGTCTCTCTTGCCCCTCTGAGATTGCTGCCACATACGTCCTGTCAGCAAAAGAGATTCCTAGCAAGAAGGTCATGATTTGTGAACAAAATTGCACCTGAGAAGAGGTGTTATAGCTTGAAAGGACTTTGTG